TTGACTCCAAATCTCCTGGATGAAAATGTTGGAATCTCTGAGTCAGCTGAGCTTATTACATAAGTGTGCCCCAAGGATTCACAAGCAGAAAACCTATCTTAGCTTTCAGTAATGCCAACAAACATTCTTTTAGGGCATCATTTTCTATGCTCATTATTTTATCTTTGCCCTTCAATAGTAAGTCTTTTCTTAAGTATTTGGTCAATGTTTTAATTTTTAAAAACATTAATTAATTATTTTTTAAACTTTAAGTTCCAAGTCAGACACATTTAAGTGACATTTGCATAATTTAAAATAAATGCTGGGAAGCATGTGAGCTGCTGCTCTTGGTTATTTACCCTGCACGAACAGCTCATGGTCACATGCCCTTCAGGTACTCTTTACTGGTACCTCACGAAACAGTTTACCCAACTGAGAAAAAATAAAATTTAGATTGTAGCAGGCAAATGTTAACATAACACGAGGGCCTTTTGGTTTTCGTGACTGTGAAGTGCAAAGGCCGTCTGAACAGCTTGCATGTAACTGTGTCTAACTGGGTCCACTTTCTTAATGTCCCTGAATTGCCGTATGCGATTCAGTCTTCAAATGGGAAGCTCTGCAAAGAGCAGGTGTCCTTGGGGAACAGAATCAGATAAGTATGAAGAGAATAATATAACACAGGATAGTTTTGCAGGGCGAAGCAAGTATGCAGTTGTCTTGTGATTTAGCAATCTCATAAGGATTGAACAACAGACATTGGATGGAGTGGTGCGTGCTATAGTCACTGCATTCAGGAGGTTGTAAGAGGAGGAACCCCAGTTGAAAGTCAGTCTGGGATGCATGGTGAAAGCATGTCTAAGAAAACTAAAAGAAAAAAAAAATATGTTCTAAGTGCAACCCAATGACTTTCAGGGAAATTGGAAATCTGCGAAGAAACACAAAAATAGAATACTTTTCTAGGATTTCAAGATAATTGGGACTTCAGTGAAATTAAAAACTGCAAAGAGATCAGTAAGAGCCTAAGGCAGATATTGGAACCCTGAGAAAGGATCAACTTTCAGATGAATATGGTTTCTACTGAGGACGTATCATCCTACCACTATGTTTGAGTGAAGAACCACAAACCAATCCACCAATAACAAGGAGAACATCCCCAAGTATATTTGTGCTGGGATATTTCTGGGTTCTCTTTTCTTTTCCTGTTTTTCCTCTTCTTTTGCTAGTACCATTCCATCTTAGTACTTGTACCAGTGTAGGTTCATTATGGGGTCAGGTGTTGTGCTGGTTAAACTTGTAATGGTCAACTTGACACAATGATGGGAGTCTCGATGAGGAACTATGTAGGTTAGGTTGCCCTATAGGGATGTTTGTGGGGGACTGTCTTGGTTACACTACACAGGCAGCACCTTCCTGTGGATTTGGGTCCTGGACTGTGTAAAAATGGAGCAAGCAGTCATTGGTTCATTCCTTTCTGCTCCTGTTACTGTGACTTCTCAGCTATGTTGAACTGTGACCAGGAATTAGGAGCTAAAATAAGCTGTTTCTCTCCAACGTTGCTTTTGTCAGAATATTTTATTAGAGCAACAGGAAATGAAACTAAACTTAAAGCCTAACTTTGTTTTAAGACTTTATTTAAACTCCACTTTTGGCATATGCTGCTCATATCAGCCAGGATATGGGAGGAGAAAATGTTTTATTCAAGGGGAGGCTACACTAGTTTGTAGCATTCTTAAGAAATAAGTGAAGAACAGACAGTTCTTGTTCATTCTTCCCTTCACTATAAATATCAAAAGAAGATCTATCCAAGTTGAGACCATGGTTCCATCTCTTGCCATACCTCTTTGGAGTTTAGGATCTCATCCACTTCCAAGAGTGTATGGTTGACAGCTGGGAAGTAGAGTTAGGAACATTGATTGGTTACCTGTGTTCACCCTGAGTAGATGACTGAGTCAGGCTACTCATCATACCTGCTCATCTTCTGCCTCAGGCCTTTCTCCAGGCATGCCAGACTCTCCCCAGATTGCTAAGAAGGGCTGTTGTATAAAGATCACAGACTGGACAGTTTCAACAACACAGATGTTAAGTTTCACAGTTTCAGGGCCTAAAATTCAGGATCAAGGCTGGTTTCCCCATGAGGCCTTGTTGCTTGACTTACAGATGGTGTTGTCTCCCTGGGGCATCCCTTTGCATGTGTACTTGTTTCCCCTTTGTGTAGGGACAGCAGTTGGCCTGGTTTAGAGATCATTCTGGTGACAGAGTTTAACTTAGTTACTGTGTTGATGGCAGTCACATTCGTTGGCACCAGGAGTTAAGACTCTTACACATGAATTTTGGGAAGAAACAGTTTATCCCCAAAGATAGTCAATGAATGGTAAAGCCATGGGAAACTTGGACAATGAAAAACAGCCCTAGGAAGCTAGCAACAGAGTTGGCATGTTCATAGCAGTCATGTGTATGAGTCTACTTAGCTGGGACACATGTCTCCAGCTTAACGAAGGGCTATGAGTTGTTTCATGGTTTACATAGCTGGAGGACACTGTAGGATGCCACTCAAGGGTAGACAAGTATGCTCCTAGACTCTCCAGGCAGCCACAAGCTGAGAACAGTTTCTTATTCTCTTCAGACTACAAAGTCTGCAGTCACCTTTGTAGAACATGGCAACTCTGTGTTGAAATTGTTCAGTCTATGATTCTTGTACAACCACTCTCCTTAGCAACCTGGTGTACATTCCTCTAAAAATATAGACTTTTAAACAATCATTTACTTAGCATCTCCAAAAATAGCAGGAATTTGACTGAGGGACACCTAATTCCTTTCGGCATTGATGAGTGTAATTCCTGGAACATGATTTCCTCAAGACAAATCAGATGTCTCTCTGTGGTTTTTCTTCTCCAGAACCTATGCCATGAGTGGGACTGTGTTTTCTAATTTCCAATACTCATTGCCATGTGATGTCAATTAGAAATGAAAATAGAATCTTTCTGTGCATCGCCATGCCCACATTGAACTGTTCAGTGCTTAGTTGGGACATGTGTATGCCTGGGGCATCGTGTGATTGTTTACAAATTATTTTATACATGTCACTCATTTAATTACAATTTATCTGGCTTGTTTTACCCACATGGTTTCTAACTATAAAACCCCTTTAAAGAGTACTGACTTTGGTTGCCCCGAGGAGGAGTTTTCACTATGTGGTAGGATACTAGAATCCCACACAAATTTCCTAATGAAAGTCATATCCTTTTATCAAAACAAGAAAATTGCCTCCCAGTACCTGAGTGTTACCCTCAGTACCATGCCTCTAAATATAGAAAATGTCTTAAGCACCACATTCAATTACCTGATTTTGCTGGACATTCTTTTCTCACAGATCCCACTAATAGTCTGAATAACTGTCTCCGTATGAATTTTTGTAACTCTTTAGAACTGAAGCATATGAGATTGTAGACTGAAGTAGACACTAAACCCAATGAGAAGAGTTTCAGATCTAGTCATTTTGAAATGCCACACAAATGAGGACAGAAAAGACCCTAAAATCTTTTGAAAGAAAACCCAAATGACAGCAGTGGCAATATTAGAAGGAACTCAGGACGGTTAAGAAATGGGAACCTGACTTTGTCCTTCCCACACAGGAATACTGAGAGGTAGACTGCAAAGAAATGATTCTTTTAATCCTCAAGGAAAATTATTCTCATCCTGAAGCTCTATTCCCAGCCAAACTATCAACTTAGTAGGAAAGTAGAGTGTTGGCTCATACTCTTTAAGACAGCAGTGGAAATTACTGGTGCTATGGAGATGTATTCCAGAAGTTAAGGCCAAAAATCCAATGAAGACCAATAGTGACTCAGAAACTGGATTGAGAAAGAATGAAGGAAACCATCCTCAGGAATATGGTGGGTGGAGATTTGCAAATGACTGCTCTGCAGGAGGGATGAGGAACAGGGGACCAGATGGGCAAATCTGGCGCTGGCAGGTGAGGAGTATGCAGGATTCCTTGTTAGCCACTTTCTAGTCTGAAGACTATGACTCGGGAAAGGAAGTAGAGCCATCCATTGTCCTGATGACAGGCATGAGGAAGATGATATACAATTAAGGCCAAATGGAAATACAAAAGCACATTCCTATACAGCACAGTTACTGCTAACAGGTTTCAATGACTATCGCTCATACAGATGTCCCTGATGGGGTCATATCTGTAGAAATCCATGTAAGTTGAAAGCATCATTAAATCCAAGATGTGCTGAATTCATCTCACCCACTGAATATCTGCTAAGCCTCGTGCACCACCACTCCACTCAGAACACCTGCTTTTGCCTGAATTTATACTAGAGTAACCTCCCGTGGTTATTGAATACCTTACGGATGGTGAAGAGCGAATGGTTGTGTGGATATGTGTGATCCCAAGGTTGGAAGCTGGAAGGTGAGTAACTCTAAGTATGGAGGGCTGACCATAGAAAGACTCGTAAGAAGCTGGCGCCCTGATAGTGCGGTTGAAGAAAACTCTGCGCACTATCACACTCTCCACATATTTGTTGCTTTAGACTATTTTTACTTGGAGCTACGACAACAAAAATGTATTCTTAAAAATGTAAGAATAAGAAATAAAAGAGAGGTGGAATATCCAAAATAGAGAAGTGGTTGGTATATTTCTCATAAGACACCAACTTGACTCATGTGCCCCAGAGACCAGCTGGGATCAGGTCCCAGCAGCTGGATCTCAAGAAGTTAGATTCTCCATGGTGTGGGGTATGAGGAGACAAAGTTGAGCTGTAGGAAACAATCCTTTAAAACATAATAGACCAAAGCTACACAGAGAAACCCTGTCTCAAAAAACCAAAAAAAAAAGAGTAATAGAAAGATTAACAATGAAATACAGAGCAGAATAAATGAATTAACTGACACTCCTCTGGAAGCTGAAAGCCTTTGCTAGGCACCAGCATTGAAAAATAGTAAACATAAGACAAACCCTGACAGAGTAGCTGTTGCAAAGGAAGGGCAGGTTTACAGCACTTGCTACTCACCCATCTTCCCAGAATCCTCCTCAATACTGTGTTCTTTTCCTCATGTCTTGAACCTTGTTTGCAGTTTTTAAGATCATGCTTTTATTCTGAAAAGAAATCCTTAGCATCAAGGTCTTCTTTCATCACACCAATGTTCTCTTTCTTGGTGGTGCTGGGGATTGAACTTGGGTCTCTCATATGTTAAGCAATGCTACACCCCTAGCTCAGATCCAATATCTTAAGGAAATGCTGGTGAAAATACGGCGCATATGCCTTCAACAGGTTGGCTGGACAGGTTTCTCGGAGAAACAGCCTACAAGGGATGAGGGTAGCAGGGAAAAATCTCACGAGACTTCTGAGAACAAGTTGAGAAAGGAGTTGGGGGTTTCATTTTATGGAATTCCACACAGACAGATAAAAGTCTCCTCAGATTTGGTCTTGGACAGAGATTTTTGTGTGATGTGATTCATACCTTCCCTAAGGAAGTTATAATTCCTGGCCAAATGTGTAAGCCGCTGACAAAGTTCAATGGAATGAAAATCCCTGCCGGGACCTGAATTCTTATCTCTCCCTCTGTCGGGAACATCATGATGTCTCACCAAATGGCCTTTCCTTACAGTCAGCAGCAAGTGGTGTATAACCCTTCCTTGTCTCAAAAGTGTTCTGATGTTAAATTGAATTAAGTTTGACCTAAATCTTTTTCCGTACTTTGATGATTATACTTGGTCCGAAGTTCCCTCTGTACATAGTGAACCAGACTCGAACTTGGTCCATAAACACTCTATAATCTAACCCAAAACTTGTACCTAAGCATGGAGTCCCAGCCAGTCATAACAACCAAACCCAAAGCCAATTCTAGCCTTACAGCTGCTAGATGATAACCAAGCATGGCCAATGCTGGGCTGTGCCACCAAGAAATCTCTGTCACTGTCTATTTTCCAGCCATATATAAATATCTCAGCAGTTGGGGTGGTACATTTTGGATAATGTTTGGCCTAGAATGTTATGATTCTAAACCATGTTCTTGCTCAAATAATTTTTTAAAAAATTAACAGATCTCTTGATGTTTTTATTCTTTGTTTTGTATCATTTTCTTTTTTGTTTGTTTTTAATTCAACTAAGAGTTAGTTAATATATAGGAAACTTATTACAGGTCTTTCTCCTTAGAGAAAACTGGAAAGAAAAATTTGATACATAGGTATCACTAAGTATTATGACCATTTTAAAGCAATATTATTGGCTAATTTCTTTGTTTCTGGTGTAAAACAACTGGGTCTGTAGCCCAGGAACTTTATTGTTAGCTCCAGAGAGGACAAAGTCCTCCTAAGTGCTATTTAGTTAATGTAAAAGCTAGTACACAGAGTTTCCAAAGGTTACAAATCCTGTTGTTATTTTGGCTACCATATCCTTGTCACTGTCTCAAGACATTTGGTAGCCCAATGCCACTTTTCATCTCCTGGTAGCCCACTGCTTCCCAAGACTCTTTACCTCTCTGGTAGCCCACCTCCACCCCAAGACTTTCCATCTCCTGGTAGACCACTGCTCCCTAAGACTCTCCACCTCTCTGGTAGCCCATTGCCACCCCCAGAGTCTTTCCTGTTTCAAGACACTAAGGTTCTCCACAACTGTCTCACTTGTAGACTTCTTCCTATCTCATTCCTCTTTTCTGTGGATTGGTAGATGCTGAAGAGCAGATTAGCTGTCTGCTGACCCAGAAACCTACTGATTTTATTTCTGAAGTTTTATTTCTCAACCCTTACTCTAAAACCTGGTAAAATAGAAGGTAATACCCCCAATTAAATTAATTACTTTATTTCATTGTGTTCTATATTTTCCCATTTTCCTGAGGGCATCACATCATCATTCTATCCAAAACAACATCCTTGTAAATTCACCTATATTTTTTTCTCTTTTTGGAATCCATTCACACACTGCCAATTTGGACTTTCCAGTCTCCTTATATGGATCTCAGAAATCTAAGGATGTGTATTTTTTGTACAACAATTCACATACTGCTTCCCCTTTATCCACCATTGGCATAACCAAACATAGTCCTTCTGTACTTAATGCTGTTGAGACAAGACTCATTAGAAACTTAGTGCTCATCTGAGTCCAAGGATGCTAAGTTCTCAGGCAGGTCTACCTTCTGAAGGTGTTCCTTCCTCACTCTTTGTAACCAGTAGTTTAAACACTTCTACAATGTGGTGGTAGGGTGGCCACTTCTTCTAAACAGTGTTAGGTCATCTACTCTAATGCCTAGGAATTAAAGAAAAGGAAAGCCAGCAAATTTCAGGTCACTTTAGCCACACTGATCCATCAAGCTACATAGTCCCACAGAAAGTGACAACTGCATCGGACACTTCAACTACATTTCCTCACAGTATCCCAGGTAGTTTCTCATAGGCAGGTACAGTTATACATCCCAGATTCTACTCCTGCTTGTCATTTCAGCCACATGGCTAACACCAGTCTTGTCTTGTTTCAGCTTCAACAACATGGGCCCTTTGGGTTGGGTATTTCAGCTGCATGGTCTTAAAGGTCTTAAAGGCTTTCAGTCTCCCAGGTGTTAGAGTCACATGGTTTCAGATCACTTTCATTGCTGAGGTGGCCTGACCAGTGTCCCTATTCCCCCTGAGTCAGCTGCTAGAGCTCACCGGAAACTGGGCTCTGTCTTCCAAACTCCATTTCATTCTGTGCATCTATCACATTGCACTTAATGTGAGTGGTGTGGGTGCCTTAATGTTTCTCCAGGGTTTCATACTGTTTCTCAAATGTTTTCAGTTTGGCTAAACCCCAGATGTATTTTTGCCAAACTTCTTTTTCTTCAATCTGTCTATGTTTCAAAGAAAATTTGAGCCATCTGTTTCTGTTTCATTGGCTTCACTACTTAACATTCTCCTTGGTAGAAACAGAGTGCAAAAAGTCTTTTAAATCCGACTTTAGCCTTCCACACCCTTTTCTCAAGCGCCTGGTAATGAAAGCATCCGAGGGATCAAGGTGTTTTTAGAACTCCTTGCTTTGGCTAACTGCCCTCCCGCCTCTACTGAGATGGTGCCCTGCTCCCCAGAGAGTGCTGCTGATGACGGGTAAGTCCCAGAGAGCCAGCACCCCTCAGCATGAGGGAATTGATGATCTGAGTTACCCTCCTTGCTCCACACATTTGAACTCTTCTCTGTTTGCGCAAGGAATTTACTTCAGGGTGGCACAAGCAGTATTTCCTTTCTACATTCTTTCCACATTTTGATAAAGGCTCTAAAATATGGGCCATTTATATTATAATACTAAATATGAAAGAAAAGCATAAAATAATGCTACAACTCATATTTTAAGCAAAATAAGTGCAATCTGTAAGGGGAAGTAGTTTGTTTCATACCAAATTAAGCATACTTATTGCAAATATTTTGTGTGTGTGTGTGTGTGTGTGTGTGTGTGTGTGTGTGTGTGTGTGTACACATGTGCTCATGTGTGCATCCTGAAATATTTTCATGATCACTTTCATTAAACCTAGTCTTAAAAACCTGACTTTATGACTTTATATAACATTTAATGAAATGGTTATCCTTTCATATCTATTTATTATCTTCATAAATCATACTCAGAACTGCCTTCTAGGTGGGAAGCCTAACTCTGATCATTTCCTTAGGACAGGTTCTTGGAACAGGGCTTGCTAGATGAAAATTTGGAAACACTACAAAAATACCCATGTCTGACTTGAAGTCATCATAATGCAGACTCACCTATCAGCCCAACAGTTCCCCTAGAAGTTGTGCATTTTAGTCCTTGTAGATTTCTCTTCTACGAGCAAGAAAATGCTGGTGGTATACATTTTAAATTACATCCATTTTATGCAACCATGGGGATTAAATAACTACAGAGTCATTTTTTATCTTCTTTGGAATCTTTGGAGAGCAAATAAAAGAAATGCCATCCTGTGACACTTAGATTTCAGTCATTCCACACATGATGGAGGCTGTATCATACTATCTAAATGTGTCTAGACTATGTTACCTAGATTTGTGTTGGTGTGTGTACTGATGAGCCCATGATAAGAAAAATCCCCAAGTGGACATTTTTCACAATGGGTCTTTGTCACTAAATACCATGGTAAGGTGGTTTCTGCTTAGAGAGATAGCTTGGAAAGACAATGAAAAATTATTCATCAAGATTAGCCAAAAGAATGAAATAATGTGGAAAAAATTGAACAGTTTTGTCTATTAATATATTACAAGGCCAAGGTAGAAATAATACAGGGTGACAGTGGATGAATCCCACAGGTTTATGAGAGGAAGAAAATTTGCTAATTCTATCAAGGTAAATGATAGAAGAGAATTCATCCATAAACCAATATGATAGGTTTTTTATTTAAATTTAAAGAACAAATAATAATAATATCACAATGATTAATAAAAGATGCACTTAACAAAATAAAAATTATAGAATATGACAAATAACGAGGGGCAAACGAATAAGAGTGAACTGTTGTGTTGGATAATATTAGGCATATAATTCAAATTTTTATAGTATAATCCTAAGGAGTAATCAAGTGTTGTAATGATTGAAGAAGAGATCAAAGTTGTGCAGTGGAAAAGTAGGCAAATTATTTTCCAGAAGGCAAGCTGACAAGAAACCAGAAGCACAAGGCTCTGAACTTCTGAAAGAACTGCCTGCATGGCCCTAAGTTAAGAGGAGGCAGGAGGTGGTGGGTAGGCAATAGATCAGTGTTCCTCATGTTGTGATGACCCCCAATTATAAAATTGTTTCATTGCTACTTCATAACTGTGATTTCACTACTGTTATAAACCATAGCATAAATATATGATATGCAGGGTATCTGATATAGGACCCTTATGAAAGGGTCTTTTGATCGGCCAAAGGGGTCATGACCCACAGGTTGAGAACCGCTGCACTAGACCCTGCTGACAAGCATGGGACTTGGCTATTCTAAGCTTTCAGTGTGAACTTAACAGCAGCCACCTCACTTGCCATCCAGAGTTGCTATTGGATGAGTGTATCTGAGTACTATGAGGAGGGACTATGCATATGGGAGCTGGGGGTCCATGTCACTCTGCTGAAAGGCTAAGGGGACTCTTGGGGGTCAGAACTGAGAGGTTTTTGTTTTTTATGAGATGCAGGACAAAAGGCATGCCTCCTAGCCTTTGCACTCTCTTGACCCACGTGTAGATAGATGTAAGTCCTTTTTATTTTCCAATACTCATTCTGATATTGGAATGGAGCAAAATTGTCAGCCTTGCTGCAAATCCTTGTGGAAGAGATGGAATTGAGCCACACATACCACATCAGAGTCCAACAAGCCTGACTGTGGTCTTTTGTCCCCAAATCCTCTCTCATGGCTCACGGTTGACCCTTCCATGTTCATCCTCTGACCCTATCCTAGTAGAGCATTCCCTTCACTCTTTTTCTCTGCCTCATACAGAGTAGTCTGCTTTTCAAGCTCCTGCCCCCGAGACTACGAACAGAATTCCT